CTGGGACACATTTAAAGAAGTCTCTAGAGGAAAGTATATAGCAATAAGTGCCCATATGAGGAGAATGGAGAGATCCAAAATTGACACCCTATCATCAAAATTGAAAGAGCTAGAGGAGCAAGATCAAAAAAACTCAAAACCCAGCAGAAGACAAGAAATAACTAAGATCAGAGCTGAGCTGAAGGAGATTGAGACACGAAAAACCCTTCAAAAAATCAATAAATCCAAGAGCTGGTTTTTTGAAAAGATCAACAAAATAGACAGACCACTAGCCAGATTGATTAAAAAGAAAAGAGAGAACAACCAAATAGATGCAATAAAAAATGATAAAGGGGAAATCACCACAGATTCCACAGAAATTCAAACCATCATCAGAGAATATTACAAACAACTCTATGCGCATAAACTAGTAAACCTGGAAGAAATGGATAAATTCCTGGACTCCTGTGTCCTCCCAAGCCTAAACCAGGAGGAAGCTGAAACTATGAATAGACCAATAACAAGATCTGAAGTTGAGGCAGCAATTAACAGCCTACCACACAAAAAAAGCCCAGGTCCAGACGGGTTCACAGCCGAATTCTACCAGACACACAAGGAGGAACTGGTACCATTCCTTCTAAAACTATTTCAAACAATCCAAAAAGAGAGAATCCTTCCCAAATCATTTTATGAGACCAATATCATCCTGATACCAAAACCCGGCAGAGACCCAACAAGAAAAGAAAACCTCAGGCCAATATCCATGATGAATATAGATGCAAAAATCTTCAATAAAATATTGGCAAGCCGATTGCAACAGCAAATCAAAAAACTTATTCATCATGATTAAGTAGGATTCATCCCAGGGATGCAAGGCTGGTTCAACATACGCAAGTCTATCAACGTAATTCACCACATAAACAGAACCAAAAACAAAAACCACATGATTATCTCAATTGACGCAGAGAAGGCATTTGACAAAATTCAACAGCCCTTTATGCTAAAAACCCTCAATAAACTCGGTATCGATGGAACGTATCTCAAAGTAATAAAAGCTATTTACGACAAACCAACAGCCAATATCATACTGAATGGGCAAAAACTGGAAGCATTCCCTTTAAAATCTGGCACTAGACAAGGATGCCCTCTCTCACCACTCCTATTCAATATAGTACTGGAAGTTCTAGCCAGAGCAATCAGGCAAGAAAAAGAAATAAAGGGTATTCAAATAGGAAAGGTGGAAGCCAAATTGTCTCTATTTGCAGACGACATGATAGTATACCTAGAAGACCCCATTGCGTTAGCCCAAAAACTCCTGAAACTGATAAGCAAATTCAGCAAAGTCTCAGGATATAAAATCAATGTGCAAAAATCACAAGCATTCGTCTACACCAATAACAGACTTAAAGAAAGCCAAATCAAGAGCGAACTGCCATTTGCAATTGCTACAAAAAGAATAAAATACCTTGGAATACAACTCACAAGGAACGTAAGGGACCTCTTCAAGGAGAACTACAAACCACTGCTCAACGAAATCAGAGAGGACACAAACAGATGGAGAAACATTCCATGTTCATGGTTAGGAAGAATTAACATCGTGAAAATGGCTATACTGCCCAAAGTAATTTACAGAATCAACGCTATCCCCATAAAGCTACCATTGACTTTCTTCACAGAACTGGAAAAACCCACCATGAACTTCATATGGAACCAAAAGAGAGCCCGCATAGCCAAGTCAATTCTAAGCAAAAAGAACACAGCGGGGATCATCACACTACCAGATTTCAAACTATACTACAAGGCTACAGTAATCAAAACAGCATGGTACTGGTACCAAAACAGAGATATAGACCAATGGAACAAAACAGAGGCACCGGAGGCAACACAACACACATACAACTATACAATCTTTGATAAACCTGACAAAAACAAGCAATGGGGAAAGGATTCCATGTTTAACAAATGGTGTTGGGAAAACTGGCTAGCCATGTGTAGAAAGCAGAAACTGGACCCCTTCCTGACACCTTACACTAAAATTAACTCCAGATGGATTAAAGACTTAAACATAAGACCTGGCACCATAAAAACCCTAGAAGGAAATCTAGGCAAAACCATCCAGGACATAGGAGTAGGCAAGGACTTCATGAACAAAACACCAAAAGCATTGGCAACAAAAGCCAAAATAGACAAATGGGACCTAATGAAACTCCACAGCTTCTGCACGGCAAAAGAAACAGTCACTAGAGTGGATCGGCAACCAACAGAATGGGAAAAAATTTTTGCAGTCTACCCATCTGACAAAGGGCTGATATCCAGAATTTACAAAGAACTCAAACAGATTTACAGGAAAAAAACAAACAAGCCCATTCAAAAGTGGGCAAAGGATATGAACAGATACTTTACGAAAGAAGACATATATGAGGCCAACAATCATATGAAAAAATGCTCATCGTCACTGGTCATCAGAGAGATGCAAATCAAAACCGCATTGAGATACCATCTCACGCCAGTTAGAATGGCTATCATTAAAAAATCTGGAGACAACAGATGCTGGAGAGGATGTGGAGAAAAAGGAACACTTTTACACTGTTGGTGGGAGTGTAAATTAGTTCAACCATTGTGGAAGACAGTGTGGCGATTCCTCAAGGCCTTAGAAATAGAAATTCCATTTGACCCAGCAATCCCATTACTGGGTATATATCCAAAAGACTATAAATCGTTCTACTATAAGGACACATGTACACGAATGTTCATTGCAGCACTGTTTACAATAGCAAAGACCTGGAATCAACCCAAATGCCCATTGATGATAGACTGGATTGGAAAAATGTGGCACATATACACATGGAATATTATGCAGCAATCAGAAATGATGAGTTTGTGTCGTTTGTAGGGACATGGATGAATCTGGAGAACATCATCCTCAGCAAACTGACACAAGAACAGAAAATGAAACACCGCATATTCTCACTCATAGGTGGGTGATGAAAAATGAGAACACATGGACATAGAAAGGGGAGTACTAAACACTGGGGTCTATTGGGGGGAAAAGGGGAGGGCCAGTGGGAGGGGGAGGTGGGGAGGGATAGCCTGGGGAGAAATGCCAAATGTGGGTGAAGGGGAGAAGAAAAGCAAAGCACACTGCCATGTGTGTACCTACGCAACTGTCTTGCATGCTCTGCTCATGTACCCCAAAACCTATAATGCAATAAAAAAATAAAAAATAAAAAAAATGAAGGCTTGGGCCAGCATGGTGGCTCATGCCTGTAATCCCAGCACTTTGGGAGGCCGAGGCAGGTAGATCATTTGAGGTCAGGAGTTCGAGACCAGCCTGACCAACATGGTAAAACCCTGTCTCTAATAAAAATACAAAATTAGCTGGGTGTGGTGGCACATGCCTATAATCCCAGCTACTCAGGAGGCTGAGGCAGGAGAACCACTTGAACTTGGGAGGCAGAGGATGCAGTGAGCTGAGATTGTGGCATTGCACTCCAGCCTGGGTGACAAGCACAAAACTGTCTCAAAAAAAAAAGAAGAAGAAAGCTTGAACTACATGGTCTCTAAAATCCTACCTAGCTCTCAAATTCCCCAATCTCTTGGTTCTAGGAAAACACTGATGTTGAGCTCAAGGAAGTGGTTCTCCAAGATGTGTGATTTTCATGGTAGGGGAAAGGCAGGCGCCAGGCAGGGGCAGAAGGGGAAGGTGTCTACACTGAGAGAATGTGACAACCCCTGCTTGTCTCATTTTCATTCTTTCTTATTTCTTTGTTTTTAGCTTTATATAACATGAGAGTCTTACCACTGGGTTTCTTAACCATTTGTACTTTATCAAATAAAGATATTCATAGTGCAACACGCAGGCACATCAGTGTGGTGCAGAACTAGCCAGCTAGTTTACCATAGGCAAATACACATGCATGCACACGCACAATTTTACCTGAGACACGTCAGAAATACTTTCCAAAACTGTGGGTTTTTCTGAGTCACTCTGGTAAAGAGTAGGTTTTCAGGTTTCAGGCCAAGCCAGTAGAAAATAGTAAAACTAGAACAAACAACAGAGGGAGAAAAAGAGAAATACCGCACTCACAACTGTTTTGAAACTTCTGGAAAAAGAGTGATATTCTTGGGTGCAATGAATTTTTAAAAAGGAAAAAGAAAATTTATAAAAAGCTGCCACATTTGTAGAATTCAAATAAAAACTGTTTATTATAAACAAAGTAATGTTCAAAATTTAAGAGTTCCTGGCTTGGCACAGTGACTTATGCCTGTAATCCCCCAGTGCTTTGGGAGGCCGAGGTGGGATGATCACTTGAGGCCAGGAATTCAAAACCAGCCTGGACAACACAATGAGACTTTGTCTCTGCAAAAAATAATAATAACAATAATTTTGAAAATTAGCTGGATGTGGTGGCATAGGCAAAACAAAACAAAACAAAACAAAACACCACTTAGGAGATTCTCAAAGCAGCCTTGTGCGTGCATAGAAACTGTGGCTAGTATCTTATTACAGAAAATAGAGCCCATATCATGCATCCTTCTTCCCACGTTTCATAAACAAGACCAGAGGAACCTGTTGTGAGGCAGCCTGTTGCATTGGTGTTAGTCCCCAAGATGCAGCCTTTACAATCTGCCCCCAAATGTTTCAGAATATGAAGCCCATTCTCCCCTCTGGAACAGGCAGCTTCAGATCCACCAGCGGAGACACACAGCAGAACAAAATCTGGGCATCGGTCTCCATGTAGGATGGCTTGCCATTGTTAATATTCTTTCTTAAGCAAAGTAAACGAACATTTAATATCCACGGTCGGCTGGATGTCCCTCCACCCACTGCGAGCTCTTTGGTGAAGGGGAAGTCCTCCTTCTCTGTTAGAGGTCTCCCGTGTGGGGCCACATCTTCCCTCACCAGGAACCCACTGGGCGTGCTCCAGCCTCCCTCAACTTGCCTTTTGCTAGGAGCTAGGGCACACATCACATTGAATCACATATTTTTGCCCTTTGTCACGTATTGAGAAAAAGGAAGGATGAATGGACGGTCTTTGATTGGCAGTGCTGGTGATGCCCGTCATGGTCCTGTTTGGAAGGACCCTTTTGGAACTAAAGCTGGTGAGGCAGCACGCAGAGGCATTGACCAGCTAAGCTTGGCCCTGGCAGATGGGTTGCAGGAACAGGTATGCTTCCTTCATGCAGCTTCTGGCTCGGGGAACCTGGGAGCCTGCTCCAAACTCCAGTGTGTCCTTTCTGGGCAGAGCCTAGGAAGTCGGGGTTGGCTGTGAGATGAGCCAAAAGCACAGGGATCTTGGTCCACAAAGCCCTGTGGTGGTCATCTTGGTTTGGAGGCTGGACCATTGAGCCGAGGAGTTTTGACAGCCATGGAAAAGCTGGGGGGACGTCACCTGTGGTTTTACATTTATGCTGTGTCTACTTTATTAGAGTGATTTTTATTTATTGTCCCTTCTTCTTAGTTGAAATTAATGGCCTGCTTCACTGGGGCTAAGATGTCTGAGCATCGGCAGAAGGTCCTGGCTCCATAGCTTTGCATTGTCTTCCCAATTAGGATGTGTGGACTCTTAAAGTTCCCCAAGAATGCAAATATTCTAGCATGGCAAAATTCTAGGGTGAATTACAACTTTAAGTTATTTTCTCCTAAGGAGTCCTCATGCCTGACTTCTGGAGCAAGTAGTCAGGGCTCCCAGGGGCTCCAGAAGGGTTCGGCAGTTCAGAATAAATGGTTCCTGGGGACTCTGAAACAGCAGCAACTGTCTGCTCAGGTCATGAGAAGACCCTTCTCTGCAGGACATCCTAGCCCTACAATCCACCCCAATAATGTTGAAATTAGATTCACAAATTGCAATAAGTCTTCTATATGTTGGGCTATAGGTTTAGAGAAAAGTAGTTTAATCTTTACTTAACTTTGGGTGGCTCAACAGGAAACTCAGGCCATTCAGGTTCTCGATCACGTCTGCCCAGTTATATTATCAGGTTTTGAATCTGTATCTCTAAAATCTCTGAGGTGATGGGATATTTAAACCCCTTTAAAATAAATAAATATATGCTGGAAATTTTGAGAACATGAATTCATTTATTCTGAAATAGCCCAGATCCTGCTTTGGTAGTTGATGGAAAATGCCACCTGAGTGTTTGCATTTGATACTGCTTCATAGATTCAGTTCCAGAAACTCAAGGCAGTTATGTCTTTGGGCTGCTTGTCCCTGCCTGAGCTGAAGCCTGATGCCTCCCATAAGTTGGTATGGCTTTAAAAATGGGTCACTGCAGCAGAGGCAGGGGCTTTCCAAGCAATATTTTCAGCTATGAAATTTGAAGAGGGAGATAATCTGAAAATAAATGATAGGCACCACTTGGACGGATTATAAAATAAAAGGTAATTTTTCATAGGTGCTTAATTTTTCATACAATTTTTCATCTTTAACCATGGAGCCAAGTCGGCTCCATATGGACTTAGTTTTGGTTCCTGACAGCCAAGATTCACTGCAAGTCACACAGATGTTGGTGTCAACACTGTTTTGCCAAGACAAAATGACCTTGGTCTGGAATGCGGTGTATAAATAGCTGCTTTTTTTGTGCAACAATCAATAGTTCATCATTGTTTAAAAAGCAGAATGGTTAGTTGGGCAGTGAGGTAATACAATTGAAATGTAATTGTTAGCAATAAATCAGTTACTCATATTGATTTCCTTACTGGGATTAATAGAAGCCAAATCTACAGTTCAATTTTTTAAAATAGATATAACTTACTATCTATTCATTGCTATTTGTTAGATAATTTGTTAGATGTGGTAAATGAAACAATGATGGGGCCAGAAATAGCCACGAGGACCATTTGATCACAGCCTGGCAACACGGAGAAGATAGGCTGGTTTCTCTGCGTGGACTTTCAGTGTTTCTTTAGTCATGTAGTCGTGTCTTATGTGGCTGTGGCTTCAACATTCCACAATTATGCCTTCCAGGGTCTGATGATTTCGGCGTTTCCCTGCTTCCCAATTGACCCGGCTGTGCTGTTGGCTGTTCTTGCACACTCAAGGTGGCTTTGCCATTGGCTTCCTCCCTCAGCCTGCCTCTGGGATTATGCCTCTGGTACTCTTTTGTGTCTACCATCAGCACTATGAAATCATCATTTTTGTCTTCAAGGTACCAAATTCTGGTGATACTGGTGCTTTCTTGCAGAAAAAGAAATCTAGCCTGAGAAGTGAATGGTACCACAGTGAACACAGTCATGGTTACAGTGTTCATATGTTCCAGAGGTGTGTTTACTATAATTATGCCCTGTACATTTTTCTACCATACAATCCTTAGATTACAGCTCTTCGGTTTTCAACCGCTTTGTCCAATTCCATCTGTCCCAGTTTCTCTACCTTGGTGAAATAGCATTCTTGCCTGGTTTTACACATTTAAATAACAAATTCCAAAAGTAAAGTATATCTGAGGTAGTCATATGACATAAGGACAAATTCAAGCAATCTTGGACTAGCAGATGGTGGGGAGGCAGTGTCAACACACACAATTTAAAAAATTTCTTCCCTTTCAATCTTTTAAAAATAAAACTTTTATAAAATAAAAACTTAATTGTAAAAGGCTGCCTGTCTTGGCAAGTAGCTGATCAGCCTGCATTGGTGAGCAGGCCCATCCATAACATGATTTCTTGATCCTTAATTGACAGCATGGAGCCTAAGCACTGGATTTAGCTCTTTCTATATGATTTGACTCATTCTGTTGACATTATTGTTTTTCAGTCTTCTCAACTAGACTGAGCTCCTTAAATGCAGGAAATATGTGCTCAGTAAATGTTTGTTGGACCAGACACTGAACATTATGAAATTAAAGACCATAAACTTCTCATAGTAGCATTAGAGACACTGATGACAAAGGTACTGTGGGATTTGGGTTTGAACAATAAGCTCTGTGGTGGTATCTCAGGAGGAAAATGGTGCTCTCTTAAGTTCTATGGAACATAATGGTCAAGATCTTCTACTGTAACCAGGCCCAAAGCTGGCTAATTTGGAGGGCTCTGTTTTAGGGATACTTATGAACTCTGTCCTTCCCTCAAGGAGCCAGAGGAAGAGATAGCCTGGAGGATAGCCCCACTATGGTTAGAGTAGACAGGGGTGAAAACCAAGTTTCACTATGTCAAGGGAGAAGGTGCTTCCCCAAAGCTCTTGGCTATATCACTGGGGATATGAAAAAACTTGCCAACTGGCTTAAAGGTATTTATGCTTTCATCTTTTGGAAAGACGGGAGAAGTAGCTTTGGGGGAAATGGTTTCCTGGTACTTCTACTTATATCTTTAGTTATATTCTCCAGCATTTTATAGATCTCTTTGCTCACTGTTTTCCTACTTTTTATCTTTTAACATACAAATTTCTCCAACTTTTTTTTTCTTATGGAGACAGTGGCCAGGGCCCAGCTCATATTAGAAGAAGGCACCTGGCTTCATCCTGTAGTTTCAGTACTTAAAAGTTAAATTTACTATTGGAAATTCATTCCTTTGGCTTCAGAGTTTGTGCCTGTAAGCACGATAAATAAGTGCATCCGATGCTTTCAGGAGCTTAGATTCTAGGAGGGGCCGTGTGAGTTGAGCATACGGTAGATAGATGCAGGGATCCGGGTGCCACTAAAGGGACAAAGCATTCAGAGAGAAAGAAATAAGGAAATACCAAAAATACATTTTACTTCCAGGATACTTTGCTGATTTTACTCAGGTTGAAGAGTGTCAGCTGGCTGCTTCCTTAGCTCTGCTTTTTCTCATCCCTTCCAGACAAACCTGTGGTGCTCCAGTTCGTCGACTGGATTCTTCAGGGCATATCCCAAGTGGTGTTTGTCAACAACTCCATCAGTGGAATCCTGATTCTGGTGGGACTTCTTGTTCGGAACCCCTGGTGGGCTCTCACTGGCTGGCTGGGAACAGTGGTCTCCACTCTGATGGCCCTCTTGCTCAGCCAGGACAGGTAGGTGTACCCTTTTCAGACTTCTCAGCTCGCTTCTAAGACACAGGGCTGACAAGTTAGTATGAATAACAGTAATAAAGCGACATCCTTCCCAGGAGAAACAACCTTTAGTCCACAGAACTCTTTATATTCGCCTTTAGTCAGAGGTCAGAGAATCAGTTACAGTCTCTTACTTTTGATATCTGAATAAGTGGCTGGTCTAAATAATGACAGATTCTTATAGCATTACGTGCTAACCAGAACTAAACTACAAGTAATTCCCTGGAGAGGTTCTGAAGGCATCTTCTTTGATGATTGATAAAATTATTTGTCATTAGCATTCTATTAGAGCAAAAGTGCATAGGAGTTCAGGAAAAGTTTTAGTGGCTTAATAACCCCCAGTATAGCTTGTTGCCATGATGAGTTTGGCAAACGCATTCTTCATAGACAATGCAAAGGGCAGATCAGCTCCTGGAGAAAAGAATAACTATAAATTCCAAATTAGTAGATTCTTACGTAAGAAGCCTCAGCGAGTCTTCTGATACATGCATTAGATTAAAAATAGCATGTACGTTATAAATTGATCTGTCATTGAAGAAGTGATGAGCTGACTCTCACCAGGACAGTAGATAGCCTCACTAGCCAGTTCCTTCAGGGAGGGACCCAGTATTCCAGGTGTCTGGGATTAATGCATAATCCCCAGTGTGGTCATTATACAACTAAGCTCTTGTAACACTGTTGCAAATTGCCTGAAGAGGTCCATGGGGAGATACTTAGCAACTGTTTCACTTTTTCGTCAATTTCAAGAAGGTTGATTTGCTCTCTGTAGAAGGGAATTGTATGGCTTAGGTTAACTCTGTTCCAATGCAGGCCAAAAAAAGGTCTTCTCAGTTTGGGGATGGAATCTAGATTTGTGCCATATTGAATATTCCTTTCTTGTTTTGCTCTGATGAAACATGATCAACTATTTTTTGTCAGATATTACTTAGAAGACAAGTCATATGTATATGTGTTAGTTTCAAATGTTTTACTTTCCTTGGTCTGAAAAGATGCATTAAAATGGCAATCCTCTGTTGTAAGTAAATATATGTCTTGCTGTGGCTTTAACTATGGCATTCTACAACTTATAGATGTTGCCATTAATTTTCCACTCATCAGATTCAAGCATTAACATTTCCAAGTCAACTGCTGAGAGGACAAGTCTGCATAGCTCTCCATTGTCATCATGTGTAGTCCCAATTTCCAGGTTGCATCATTGCAAATTGCATCACCTCCAATATGCCCTCAAGGATTATTTAAGGGAGACAAAGAACTTTTGAACACGGAGTCCCACCTCTACTGTTCATCCGGGTTAATGTATGTGACATCATTTTACCTGTTGCAACCGTGCCTCCCGGCCCAGTTAGAAACAAGCCAAGCAGCAGCTGTCACACTATCCTGTACCAGCCCCTGCAGTGTGGCTCACTGATTGTAGCACCTCCTGCTCAAGCCCAGCATTAGACCTCACCCACTCACTTCACCATTCTTTACTCCCCCATCCCCCTACAGACATCGCCCTTGAGTGCCAGGCCCTTGGGAAGTGGATCCTGTGCCAGACGTTGTCAACTCTCAGAGCTATGGTGGACCTGGCTTGTCAGCGTTAGAGCTTAGTCTATGGAAATTCTTCCATTTCTCACTAGGGGGCTTCTACTTATCAATTATGAAACCAGGACCATTTTGGTCAGAGTAGAATGCTGATACACTGTTGGTAGAAATGTAAATTAGCTCAGCCCCTGTGGAAAGCAGTTTGGAGATTTCTCAAAGTACTAACCATTTGACCCAGCAATCCTATTACTGGAAATATACCCAAAGGAAAGGAAATTGTTCTACCCAAAAGACACCTGCACTCACATGTTCAATTCAACACTGTTCACAATAGCAAACACATGGAATCAATCTAAGTGCCCATCAACAGTGGAGCAGATAAAGAATATGTGGTACATATACACCATGAACTACTACATAGCCATAAAAAAGATTGAAATCATGTCCTTTGCAGCAACATGGATGCATCTGGAGGCCGTTATCCTAAGTGAATTAACGTAGTAACAGAAAATCAAATACCGCACGTTTTCACTTATAAGTGGGAGCTAAACATTGAGTAAACATGGACACAAAGATGGAAATAGTAGACATCTGGGACTTCAAAAGAGGAGAGGAAGGGAAACAAGGGTTGAAAAGCTACCTATCGGGTACTATGTTCAACATTTGGGTGAAGGGTTCAATAGAAGCCCAAACCTCAGTCAGCATCATGCAATATGTCCATGTAACAAACCTGCACACGCACCCCCTCAATCTAAAAAAAAGCAGCAGAAGGAGGAGGAGTAGAAGAAGGAGAAGACAGGGAAGAAGTGAGATTGAATACTAAGCAAAAAGCAACCTCAGAAAGAAATGGATGCTCTACATGCACATAATTCAACGGGGTACTTCTCCAAGTAAGAGAAAAGCAATTGTTTTCTTTGTAATAACTTGGAAATGTACATCTGGAGATAACAAAATAGAAGCATAAGAACACAAAAATGTATGCTAAGTTGGAAGATGAATGTTTATAAGATCAAAGGCACTATGAAAGTGAATTTACATTTCAGGAATCTTGTATCTCTCACCAAGAAATCAAACTTAGGAAACAGTTTCGTATGCTAAAGGTGCTATTCAAGTCAGAGGCTCCTGATTTAAAACAAAGAATAACTTTCCAAAGGAAAGGCTAAAAGGAAACAGAGCAGATTGCCTTGCTAAACTCCCCTTTCCTCTCTCAGCCACTGTAGTCCTGTCTTTAGCCGTGACACCTGTGGAGGGAGTCGTTCTATCTCAGGGGTCCCCCAACCCCTGGGCTGGAGATGGGTACTAGTCTGTGGCCTGCTGTGAACCAGGCCACACAGCAGGAGGTGAGTGGTGGGCAGGTGAACATTACCGCCTGGCTTCACCTCCTGTCACATCAGCAGCGGCATTAGATTCTCTTAGGAGCACAAACCCTATTGTGAACTGCACATGCAAGGGATCTAGATTGAATGCTCCTTGTGAGAATCTAACAATTGCCTGATGATCTGAGGTGGAACAGTTTCATCCCGAAATCATCCCCCATTCCCCATGCATGGAAAATTGTCTTCCATGAAACCTGTCCCTGGTCCCAAAAAGGTTGGGGACCACAGATCTAAATGCACATTTATATTTTATCTATGTATATTTCATTTCATGTCTTTATTAGTATTTATAAAATACTTATATAGATTTTGAAATACATTTCAAAATATAAGCTCATTTTTTAATATGATTATGATCTGGAAGTTACTAGTGTTATTTATGTGCAAGTGCAACCAAAGCCCACCCAGAAAATGTCCATGCTGTGTCTCTTGCCCCGCAGGTCATCAATAGCGTCTGGGCTCTATGGCTACAATGCTACCCTGGTGGGAATACTCACGGCTGTCTTTTCAGACAAGGGAGACTATTTCTGGTGGTTGTTATTCCCTGTATGTGCTATGTCCATGACTTGATAAGTTACAACTGGTCTTCAAAATGCCTTTTTAAAAAATAATATGGCAGGAGGGGGAATGGGCATTATTTTCATATGGGCATAGAGTTTCAGTTTTGCAAGATGAAAAATTTTCTGCGAATTGATAGTGGTGTTGGTTGTACAACAATGTGATTATTCTTAATGTCACTGAACTGCACAATTAAAATGGTTAGCCGGATGCAGTGGCTCTCGCTTGTAGTTCAAACTACTCAGAAGGCCGAGGGGGAAGGAGCACTCGAGCCCAGGAGTTAGGGGCTGCAGTAAGCTATGATTGCATCACTGCACTCCAGTTTCCAGAGCCTCCTTGCTTGGTCAGAATGAACAGAAGAAAGAGAAGAAGGAGGAGGAGGAGGAGGAGGGAGAGGGAAGAGGAGAAGCAGGAGGGGGAAGAGGAGGGAAAATGGCTAAAATGGTAAATTTAAAATTGGATTCCTTTAGATTCTGTCGGCAACAAAAACAACCATTTTATAAGATGTATATTTCCTTACAACCAGTTATTTGGCCTTTTGTCTGATCTGGCTACACATCCACCAATACCTCTCAACCAGAGGTTCTCAACCCTGGCCGCACACTGACACTTCCGTGGGGAGCAGAAACCGTGCTGCAGTGAACATACGAGTGCAGGTGTCTTTTTGGTAGAAACACACTGATGCACGTGGCCCCACACACACCTAACTCCTCCCTCCCAAGACTCTGCTGTCATTTGTCTGCATTAGCACCTGGGCATTGGGAGTTTCTAAAGCTTCCCAGGTGACGCTACAGCATAGCCTAAGTTCACACCCACTACCTTCATCATTGCTTCTCAAACTTGAGCACTATCAGAATCACCTGCAGTGGTTGTTAAAACACAGGCACCTGCTCCCCATCCCCAGGGTTTCTGATTTAGTCTGTCTGGGGTGGGGACTGATCATTTGCATTTCTAACACATTCCCAGGTGATGCTGGGAGAACCACTGTGCCTACATGAATTCTCCTTACCCACCTGCCCCCCAGCACTCCCTTAGAAAATTTTTTCCATGGAATTTAATTCATTTTTTTTTTCAAACTCGAATCCTTCAAACTAGTTTTTATGTTGATATTGTCTTAAATCCATTTTCTGGAAACACAGATTTCCTTCTTTCTATATTGCAATTAAATATAAAATACTAATATGCACATAAATGAGAAGCACAGCCTGCTGTGGGCAGTGTCTGCAGAAGGGCCACTCACCCTTGCTGCACCCATAGGTATGTGGATGAGGACCTACCTATAGAGCCAACCTCCTCAGGAGGTAATTTGGGACCTGCTCTGAAGAGTAGGCTCACGGGAAGGAGGCCTCACCTGCAAATGCTCACCACACTCCCTTCCACAATCCAGGAAAATGGGAGTTCTGGTCTTTAAGTGATGGCTCCTTGATTGGGCCAACAAATGAGAGCCTATAGGGACCTGGGGACCATGCAGCCCAGCCCCCCAGTTTAGAGGCTCAGAGACTGAGGAGACGCACCTTGCCCAGATCATGCAGTTTATCAACAGCTCAAGGACACACACTGTGAGATCTTTTTCCTTATTCACACTACCTGCATCCTTTAACAATTGTTTCTCTTTTCCAAAGATAGATACATGAAAGAAATGAGATATGCCAAATTCAGGATCGCGGTTGCCCCTAGTGGGGAGGGAGGGACATAAGAGTAAGAGGAGGTACAAAGTGGACTTTAACTATGTAGACAATATTTTATTTTGTATGTAATAAGTACTTCAAAATTATTTTTAAAATCTCAATATGTAGCTCACTCTGAGCAATTCCAAGTAGAATTTTTCAAAAGCCAAATAAGCTGAGAGGTGAGTTTTTACTTTATGCAATATTTACTGTCTCGATAATAGGATTTATCCCAAGTTTTCTTTCTGTGGCAAATTTGCCAACACAACATGTGAGGGACCTATTGGCAGATGAAACAAAGTCTCTCTGGAGTATAGCGATTCCATGTGTCAGCCTGGTTTGTCACATGCATGTTTTTCTGCTCTGTTCTTTTTTTAGCCCAATTTTCTTAAGCGCATTGAATTCCATGCTCAGCAGATGGGACCTCCCTGTCTTCACCCTCCCTTTCAACATGGCATTGTCAATGTACCTTTCAGCCACAGGACATTTCAATCATTCTTTCCAGGCAAATTGGTCACACCTGTAACTTCACCGTCAACTATCTCCTGGTCTGATCTAAGTGCCCTGGAGGTAAGAGACACTGGCTTCTCACATTCTCCCTGGCTCTCCAAAATAGATAATGGCCTCCTAGTCAACTGTCCATGGATGTCAGAGTCTCCTAGATGCTCAGAACTATGGTGGCCTTTCTGCCTTCATCTTGCCATTTAAGGCATTTGTTCTACTCCAGAGCATTAAGATCTAAGGGCTTTTTAAAATTACTATTTAGTCAAGCTAATTTTTCTGCCTTTTACTCTAAACATCTACAGTGCTAACCCCAGAGTGTAGTTCCAATGGGAGTCACTCTATCGTAAGCTTGGGGGTGAGGTGATGGGAGCCAGCCCTTAAGGCATGTGGCCTCCAGCCTGGTTTTAAATCTTCCACAATCTACTTCCTCCAATCAAAAAACTGGATGCTTACTGTTAGAGCTCATGACAGCACCTCACTATTCTGCTTTTCCTTATGTCATAGCCCATAGAACATGTAGAATAATTTAGGGTTCACAAGCTTTGTTAGGCATCAGAATCACCTGGGCAATTTTTTTTTTTTTAAATACCAAACAGGCTTCATCTCAGTTCATCTGAGACACTCTAAGTCATAATCTCTAAGGGTGGGGCCTGGAACCTGTTTTAACAAACTCCCCAAATTGTGATGCAGGCCAGAGTTTGAGAACCGCTGTATCAAGGGATGCGTCCTATGTATCTCTTTAAAGATGGCCTTAAAGAGATCCTGTATTTTTTAAAACCTAGTTAACCCAAATCAAATTCCAGCCCTTCCTGTTGGTGTTTAATGAATCTGCTTAAGGTTTCTGGATTGTCAAGAACAAGAGAACACCTGAAATTAGAAGAAAACCAAAGAAACCTTATCTTTTTCAATGTGCTCTCCCACTATCAGGTTATGGAACACGCTTTTCTGTCTTTGTTGAGTGATCAAAACACATGAGAAGCTCAAGTCACCTTTTCTTTAGCTTATTGCCAGAAAATGAGAGGGAGCACCTTGAAATAATTCAGAAGGAAAATCAAAGATTCATTAGAACTACCCATGAAAAATAACGGTATAAAATAGCATTAATCTATCTAGAACCGCACTAACACAGGAGCCAACAACCCCATGTGGCTATATAAATTTAGATGTAAATTAATTACAAATTGAGTTCCTAAACCTCTCTAGCCACATCTCAGGTGCTTGATAGCCACACGTGGCTAGAACCCACTGTATTAGACATCACAGATACAGACTATTGCATCGTCTCAAAAAATTCTCCTGCACAGTGCTGATCTGGGGCAGGGGAAGCCTTGTCCTTCTCTTCACTCTGAATGACCAGCCCTCATCAGCACCAACCCCAACCCCATAGCTACCTGAGAGAGAGTTCTGCAGTCAAGTCCAAAGGAAAAAAAAAAAGCCTATGCCATCTTTGCCAAGTTTCCTGGTATAGAAATAGCAAATGTTTAGACATGAAGACCCAGCATGGGCTGGAAGAATTTGGAGTCTATCTTAGGATAGAGGCAAACTCACACTATGGTCAGTGCACCTAGCCGATGTTAGGCTCATCCTACTATAAGAAGGGAGAAGACACTTCCCCTTGTGCAAAGCTGGGGCTGCCTCTGGCAGAGTCACTGCCTCCAGAAGGTCTTTGGTGCACATACGACCTAGAAATGGCGGAGAGGGCAAGATGGAAGCTGGGGAAAACATCTTTCAGTAAATGGCCTTGCTCAAAAGGGACATGCCGTGGCTAATTATGTCTATCCTAGCCCTACCAGAAGCTCAGCTGTAAACAATGATCACCTGTTAGGTGCGGCCAAACCCTTGTTCACTCCTGAGAACTGCCACTCTATGAACAGAATAACTAAATTCAGGCCTCAGCCAGAAAGCAGAATTGTGACATTTCCATGTATTTTTGTGTTTTGAGACCTGCTTGACGGTTGTGCATAACTAGAATAAGCTAAAGATATCTTGGCTTAAATGAATACATGTTCCACTTAAAGACTGAAAAGTAAATTCACAAACTTGCTAATAATTGCTTCTAAATTGTGGAGAAGATAACCCGGCTTTGGGTCTCTGGCTTTGGTGTAAGCATCCAAATTGCATGGTGATAATAAGGTCTCTATTGAACATAGGGATGCATGGATAGAATAGATTGCCCTCAGCACTGACGGACAGTTGAAAGCAAAAGAAGTATCAGCTGTGGTCCCTGCCATCCCCAGGGGGAAGCATGGCAGATCCTCACAGCCAGGACCAGTGAGTGGCATCACACTGGAAGCTTATTGGTGACCAAGGCCAAGTGTCAGTGCAAGCAGGAGAGCCAGGGGGAGCTTTGAGAAGGCATGCATGGCATGCACCAGGGAAGGGCTGGTGTGTCTCTAGGGATAGAGCTGAAGAATGGCTGAAGTTTTTCTGTAACAAAAGAGAATTTTAAAAGGCAGTAACACTGTTCTTGAAAAAGATAAGGTATGTCAGGTCTAAAATTACATCGTAGGAGTTTGTGGGTGTCCTGGGTGGTTTCTCTTCAGTTGTTTTGGTGACCTCATTTTTTAAAATTTCTTTTGCAGTTATTGAAATCTACACCAGTGGGGGTTGGTCAGATCTACAGCTGTGATAATCCATGGACAGGGGGCATTTTCCTGGGAGCCATCCTGCTCTCCTCCCCACTCATGTGCCTGCATGCTGCCATTGGATCCTTGCTGGGCATAGCAGCAGGTGAGCATAACGGCCCTTACCAAATACCGAGCACCTCCTCCATCCCATGCAGTCTCAGGCATCTCCTGTGCTCCAGATCTTTCTTGAGGTCTTGGCTTCCTACCAACCAATGGGAGTTCTCGAGATGCTTCCTGCTACCCCCAATCCCACCCTCAGTCTCCTTCCACAACATCCTGCCTTTAGTCCTAAACTATGACCCCTCCTGTCTTGTCTAACAGGACTCAGTCTTGCAGCCCCATTTGAGGACATCTACTTTGGACTCTGGGGTTTCAACAGCTCTCTGGCCTGCATTGCAATGGGAGGAATGTTCATGGCACTCACTTGGCAAACCCACCTCCTGGCTCTTGGCTGTGGTGAGTCTCCCGCACACCTGGGGGAGGGCTGCTCATGACTACAGGATCAAAATAAAGGAAAAGCAATGAAAATCAGGGCCAGGGGTCTGGCTTGGGCCCACTTGCTGTCTAAGTGTGTGAACAGGACAAGTGACACCCCTTCTCTGAGAGCATTAAAGTCGCCTCTGCCTACCTCTCTGGTGATTGTGAAGGCAAGGGCCTGTTGAGTCATATTAACATACTAAAATATGGATGTTTGGGAGGATAGAAACGACTTGTCTATCTATAGAAACGATTCTTCAAAATAGTTGTTTGACCCAAGAAACTAAAGGGAAATAACACCAGCTAAATACAGAGCAACATCCCCTAGTCAATCAGGGTTGATTACATTTGGCTCTTTGAGCATCACAGTAATCCAGCCGTTCTAAAGCTTGAGAGTGCATCAGAATCACCTGAAAGACTTGTTAAAACACAAATTGCTGGCCCCCCTCACCCTGCCTCAGTCTCTGATTCAGTGTTAGAAGTAGGGGGGAAGAATTTTTTTTTTTTCCTGAAAAAGGGTCTCATTCTGTTGCCCAGGCTGGAGTGCAGTGGCATGAACATAGCTCAATAGAGACGGGGTCTTCCTATGTTGCCCGGGCTGGTCTTGAATTCCTGGGCTCAAGCAGTCCTCCCGCCTCTGCCTCCCAAAATGCTGAGATTACAGGTGAGAGCCACCACGCTCTCAGAATTTCCACTTCTAACAAGTTCTCAGGCGGTCCTGATGCTCTTGTTCTTGGGACCACATTTCAAGAACTGTTGTATTAATCCTTTCGGACCCCCAGTGTTCTTGCCAGATTCAGCCTGTCAGAGCAAGAAGGCATTCTGGAGACTTCCACTCCATCCTTGTCACTTTACTCTTGGGGTCCTGAGGCCAGAGAGGCTAAGGGATGTGCTGCATGGCATCTGGTCAGTGAGGGGTAAATTCACACCCATAACCCACACTTACCGTTCACCTCCAGAGTCATCTGACTGCACTCCTCTGCTTCCCTTTTGTAGCATTCAGGCCTTCAAGGCAACCTCTTAGGTGAAAACAGACTGCATGTGATTTAAATCTGAAAAGCTAATGGATGTCCCAGGTGGATTGTGAATGGAGGCTCATTCACCCATAGCCTCTGGCATCCCTAATTCAACAAAAGTATAAGCATTTAAGATAACCTTCTAGAGTGGAGAGAATGAGAATCCCTTGGGAACAAAAAGGAAGGATAGTGGAATGTGGAGAAATTATTTCTAATCTAGTGAAAACATATGTCTATAGCAAGTTTATCACCAGATTAATCAAGGTATCTGAGCAGTTATTAAAACGGTGAACTGCGTCTCAGGCAAGGTTTAGAATAGGTTTCTGCACTGGCAGAAAATGGGATGATACCAACAGTTTTTAAAGACCCATTCCGTTTTGATTGGATGCTATAGCAAGAATAGCAACTCAGGTTGCTGTGGTATAGCCATGTAGATGTCATTTTGTAAAATTCTTTACTGTTACTCAGTTATTTCACCTAACAGTTCTGTTTAAATGTTGTGCTCCTTCTCCATATTTGTTCAGAAGCTTAGGGTAAAGGAGAGGGTTATGGACAGGTGCTGTAGTCACCTGAGTTCAGCTGGGTTAGAATGTTTATCCTACAGCTTTCAGCTTTATTCTGAGATTCACTAGGGGGTTTCAAACCTTTATTCGGGATGCATACCTTTATTTTTCTGGGGGCTGTAGCCACAAATATGTATTAAACACACATGATACAATTGAGACAGTACCAGGAAGAGCAAGTGGTTTAGAAGCTTTAGGTCCTCTGCAGTTCCTGTGCACAGAGCATTACAGTAGAGAGCAGAAGCCAGGCAAGGGAGGGAGCCCAAGGGACACCATGCAATCTTTGTGGGAAAAGAAGAAGTCCACAGTACAGGATTCTCTGGGGGGCCATTTCCATTCAGAATGATCAAAAAGTGCCTCCTAGAGAAGGGGGCTTTTCCATAAATGCTAGAAAATAAGAGGAAGAATTCTGTTTGGTGGAAAGGGTGGTGCAGGCCAGCCTGGGGACAGCCTGAGCATGTCCTTCAACATCAAGGAGAAGCCATCTTGAGCACAGGAGATGGTGATGAGGTTTTGGCAGATGGAGAAGGACGCAGCCAAAGCTCTTGACATGTGCTTCCCCAAGTGGGAATATCTTTGACATTTTCTCAATTATAGAAGCAGCAGCACAGGTTAATTGTATAAAACAAAATAAAAAATGTAATCTGCATAGAAATGTATACAACAGAAAGTGGAAACACTCCATCTTACTCCCTAGAAAGGACTTTTTTGGTCCTTTCTTATAGGACCCTTGTGATTACATTGGGTCCATTCAATAGTCTAGGATACTCTCCCCATCTCAAGGTCGTTAACTTAATCGCAGCTGCTGCTAAGTCCCTTTTGCATTTGAGGTTACATAGTCTCAGGTTCTGAGGCTTAAGATGTGGACATCTTTGGGGACCATTATTCTTCCTACCACACTCACCTTCCTTTGGATAGATGTGGTTTTTTTTGTTTTTTTTTTTTTTTTTCCACTGGTGTAGCATAATGGTTAAGGCAGTATACTGAACTAGTTAAGAGCTCAGACTCTGGTGCCAGATAGCCTGGATTCAATTCCAGCAGTTCTGCTACTTACTAGTGTATTTGCTTATGAACTTAAGCAAATTACTAAACCTTTCCATGGCTCAGTTTTCCCATCTTAAAAGATGGAACTTACCATATTTAATTCATACAGTTGTTCTGATGATTAAATTAATGTGTGTGTAAAACTCAATGAATAAATAGTGTGTAGCACTCAGTAAGCACTATTTAAAAGTCTGAAAAAAAGTTTTTCTGGTGTCTTTGCATAACTTAATAAGAATCAAACTTGTTTATTTTCTCCTCTCAATTTCTGTATCTTCTCCCCAAATACAACTAATACCCGGGCCTGCTTTTACTTCCTCTGAGAAGGCCCACCCACTAACAATTACTAAAACTGTTGATACTGGATAGAATTTTTATTTTGAATTAATTATAAGTATGGGTTTTTGCTTGTGATACTTGCTTATTTAGGCAACTGTAAACTTTATTAACTTGTTTATTCACTCTTAGTTCATATTAACCTTCCATATTTTCTTTCTTTTTTTTTTTTTTTGACAGAGTCTCATTCTGTTCCCCATGCTGAAGTGCAGTGATGCAATCTCAGCTCACGGCAGCCTCCACCTCCTAGGTTCAAGCAATTCTTATACCTCAGACTCCCAAGTAGCTGAGATTACAGGCATGTGCCACCATACCGAGCTAATTTTTTGTATTTTTTGTAAAGACAGGGTTTTGCCATATTGGCCAGGCTGGTCTCAAACTCCTGACCTCCAGTGATCTGCCAACCTCAGCCTCCCAAAATGCTGAGGTTATAGGCGTGAGCCACTGTGCTCAGCAACCTTCTGTATTTATGTGTCTTCCTGCTGGATTACTTTTTCAAAGAGGGTTTGCAAAGAGAGTTTTGTTTTCTTCAAAGAGGGTTTGCAGAGAGACCTTGTATGCTGGAGAATATCTTCATTTCACCTTCATTTAAATTTTAGTTTTGCTGGCTACCAAACTCAAGATTTAACATTTTTTTCTCAATATTTTGAAAATTGTCTACTCCATTGTCTTCTTATACCCTGAATTGTTAAGATGTCTGAAAAGAAACTGATTCTTGTTAAAGTTGATTTTATCTTTCTCTCTGGACTCTGAATTTTCTCTTCGCATATTAGATAGATATATACATAGTTTTATTTCACTGTTATCTGTCTAGATGTAGTTTCTTTTTTCCTATGCTACTTGGTACTCAAGTCCCCTCAGTGTGAACCCTCATATCTTTCTTTAATTCTGGGAACAATATCAGTTTTCACTTTGTCAAATCTTTTCAATTTTTCCCCTCTCCTTCTGTGATTTCTAGTATTTGAGTGCAATACTTTGTTATTTTTTTTCATAACTCTTGACTTTTTCTTAATATTTTACCTCTATCTTTTCATGAGGCCCTTCAGTCCAGTTGATCAGCCCCTTCATTCTTTGACTCTGTCCGTTGTGCTGACCACATCATCCATTGAGTTCTTCATTTCTGGTACATTAATTAAATTTTATTGGCCAGGCACAGCGACTAATGCCTGTAATCCCAGCACTTTGGGAGGTTGAGGTGGGCGGATCAAGGGACCAAGACCATCCTGGCCATCATGGTGAAACCCTGTCTCTACTAAAAATACAAAAATTAGCTGGGCATGGTGACACGCTCCTGTAATCCCAGCTACTTGGGAGGCTAAGGCAGGATAATTGCTTGAACCTGGAAGGCGGAGGTTACAGTGAGCCAAGATGGTGCCACTGCACTCCATCCTGGTGACAGAGCGAGACTGTCTCAAAAAAAAATGTATCAACTGTAGGTTATTCAGTTTATTGTCCTTCTTTTACGGTGTTTGCTCTCATAGGATGTCCCTTTTCCTTGTCCTGGGAACTCATGTTTCCCTCAGGATATAAGCTGTCTGGGTGAGTCCCTGAGTGGAGAGTGGAAGCCCAGGCCTGAGCTGCATTTTTCCTGGTGTATCGAAGAAAAAAGGGAGGCCCATGTTGCAGGGTGTAGAACTTCCACTGCTCAAGGCCATGGAGATGGTGGCTGTGTAGACACTTTATATGATAAGTGCCCTCTCACTGGGAGAAGTTCAGATTGCTTCTAGTTTGAAACCATTACAAATAGTCCTGCAATGAATATTTTTGGTACAAATGTCCTTGTGTACTTTGTACAAGCATTTCTGTAAGAAAGAAGATTCACCTTTTTTCCAAAAAGCTGAATTGATGGGTTAAAGGGAATGCCAATTTTAATTTCAATGGATGCCAACTTCATCTCCAAAAGGGCCATACCAGTTTCCACTGCTGCCAACAGTGTGTGACAGTGCCTGTTAGGTCCCCACAGGGTACAATCAGACTTTTAAATCTCTGTGCATGGATTTTAAGACAGCACCTCTTCTCAAGCGAATCTCACATGTAAAATGCCACAGCAAGTTTCAGCTTATCCACAGCACCCTGATACTGCCAAACAAAAGACCAACCCTGTCAGCCAAGGTAAATAAATGACAGACGTTTCTTACTGAGCTGTTTTTTCATTAGTTTCCAGTGACTTTATCAGGAAGTGGACTCGGGAAAGTAACAGAACCTGGCACTGCTCTTATCTGGCCTCTAAGCCAGAACAACTGTATGGCCAGAGAATGTCTCAATGTTGTTGTTTCATTAGTGGAAACTGTAAACACATTTTGTATTCTTCTCGACGGCTGGGTTGTCATAGTGGGACTCAAAAAGAGAGACGGTAATAAGGTCTCATGTGCTCAAGGGCAGTGTTGTGGCAGAGGGGGCACTCAAGAGAGCAGGGACAGAGGGCCCCGGTGCTTAGCAGAGGGCCAATGAATAGTTGTTGAATTAATTGATTAATAAAACTTTAACAATGAATGGAATTGATGTGACTGAGGAGAGAAACCCTTGTAAGCCAAGCCATGAGCATCCTTCTGCTCAGAGCAGTAGCTTAGACCCATGATGAAAGAGATGCATTCACATCTGTTTGTGGAAAATACAACCTCTCATTTGAGATTCATCACCTCCCAGTAAGGCAGATATTCAAGTTGCTTTTCACAGATGATAAAATTAAATTCCAAGACATTCAGTGATTTGTTATACAACAAATCAAATGGCAGAGCTGGGATTTGAAACCAGTACTGTTTCCAAAGACCAGCCCTTCCTGCTAGTGGGAGACAATTCAGACATGAAAACATTTGATCTACTATTGAATAAGGAACACCAGGATAAAAAGATAACATATTAGTAAAAGGACAGAAGTCTATGGTAAAGTAAGTGAGGGTCACAGAGGCCCTCCCACCATGTCCTGCTACATCCCCACACACCAAGACAGCTGATGTGATTTCTCACCAGACATGAAGACGAGATGGTGAGTGTGTCTAATGGTGAGCTGTGGTGGCTCAAGTGGCTGTGTGGCCATTATATGGTGGCCATTATATGAAGGCCATTCTTCAGGCTGTCCCGTGAAATCTGAGGGCTTCCCTGAGCCTCCATGAGCCTCCTCTTCAACCAAAACTGAGGAATAAATAATTAGCTGGTTGGGATCTTTGCTTTAATTACTGACTCTACAATTTTTTTGGCCACTCAAAGTAAATAAAAAATAAGACATCTATTCATTGATTTTAATGGTATTGGAGATGTTATCCAGGGGAGGAATCCTGAGTTTGTGTTCAGTTCCTGCTGTCCTCCGAGTTCTTTCCTTCTTATTTTGGTATACATGGTTTGGTTTCAGTTGTGAGTACATGGGCTGCCAAAGCAAGCACTGTGATTTTTTGTAGCTGGGAATTCAGTTCATTAATATGAGAATCCTAGAGGCAGAGAGATTGTTTAGAAACCATGCTATCTCAAGAAACATTCAGAAGTTTCATTTTAATTCAGCCATGCTTGGATAAAACATCAGAGAAGTTAATTGCCATGGAAGGACTTTCCCTTAAGTATCAGCAATAACAACAAAATGGTAACCACAGAAAACTACCTTTATTGAGCACTTACTGTGTGTTAAACACATGCATTATTTACTTTCAAGCTCACACCAACACCATGAAAGAGATATTCCTCTTATTTTTATTGTACAGGTGAAGAAATGGAGGGTTAAAACAGAGTCCCTGGAGCTCCTAAGTGGTGGAGCCAGGATTTGAAACCAGGACTGCTGACTTTAGGCTCATGCTTGTAACCAGGGCACTGTGCATTCTAGGTGATTTATATTGGAAGGAAGCCTTTCCTGTGATTACAAGTGCATCTACCAAGCATTGCTCTCTCTCTCTCTTTTTTTCTATAGCCCTGTTCACGGCCTATCTTGGAGTCGGCATGGCAAACTTAATGGCTGGGGTGAGTTTGCTTTAATCTCACTTTTTATTAGCATAATTGACAAGCTTTCAATTATATGGGAAGCGCTCCTGAAGTCCACTGTAGGGGCATCCAGTGGCAGGACCCATGACCATGAGAAACACTGCTCTCCCTTCTGCTGGAGCTGCCTGGCCTTTCTTTCAGCATCACAGCAAATTTTAGTGTAATCCACAATCACCCAGTATGTTACAAATATCAGATTGCTTGGTTAAAAAAAATAAAACTTAGGTTGTACAATATATTATCAAGTTGAGAGGCTAACTCTGAGTGATAAGAAGTAGACTTTAGGATATCTTTCACTTAACCAGAAAACCAGATATTCCATTGCAGGTGATGCCGGGCCAGTTTCTGTTAGCTCAGTCCATGCTGACGTGGTCATGGATGCTGAGGAGTCAAGGCAGTATCTAGCCCTCTTGGCAGCAGCATGGAGATTTTATCTGGGAGGGTCCCTAAGGAGACAAAGTGTCTTTCTGGTAGAAAGCCAAAGTCTCATTACAGCCATGCATGATGGAGAGTATATCAGAGCACAGGGGGCCCTTCACATGTCAACAAAGAAGATTCACAGGCGTCAGTCCATGGACCCAAATGGGAAAACTGCACACCAGAGTCAGCTAGGAAGGCAGAAAAATATAGAGCCTTAGGCCCTGTCCTTTGGTATTTCTGATAGAGCAGGTCTTGTATGATGCTCAAACATATGTGTTTTCTTTTTAACTACCCCAGATGATTCTATGTACAGTCATGTTAGGGTACCCCTACACTCCATCACACCCTGGGGAGGTCCATGCATTGGCCAGAGCTAACCAATGGTGTATTGCTCAGAATTGTGTGTTTCCATGGGCAGCACAAAGAGGGCCTACCCTCGAGGAACTTAGAGTCTATTTGGGAAACAGAATGGAAAGCAACAAAGTAAGTCAAGTCTAAGACCTAGACCAGGCAAAAGTCAAGGTTAGAGAGGTCACTGTGGGTTGGACGAATCATAGAAGGCCTTGCATACATGACGAGTGGTCAGGGGCCATCTCAGTTTGCAAGTGTCATCTCTGTCTGTCAAGTGTCCTTTTGGCACATCTGGTACAGGAAATCTGAATATGCGAGAGGAAGAGAAAGACATACAAGATAGAGACATAAGTGGCTACCCTAAAGAATGGATGTCAACATTCCAACTGCTCAGTGTCCTGAGACTGTAGACTCAGTCTCCATGAGCATGCACAGAATCCACAGCAATGTCCCCAGTGGTTCATCCCCCTGGGCTGAATGTGAGTAGAGAGGGATGCTTTGTGCAGCCCAGCTGTCAGATGGGATCTGAAAGGAGTATGTGGCTTTCTCTTCTTTCCCAGATTGGATTGCCAGCTTGTACCTGGCCCTTCTGCTTGGCCACGATATTGTTCCTCATCGTGACCACAAAAAATTCCAACATTTACAAGATGCCCCTCAGTAAAGTTACTTATCCTGAAGAAAACTGCATCTTCTACCTGCAAACCAAGAAAGGAATGGTGGAAAGCCCTTTGTGAGAATAAGCCACATCTGCCGCCATGGTCACGAGTCATTTCTGCCTGAGTGCTCCAGCTAACTTCCTGGGTCTCAGCAAACTGCCGTTTTTCATGAGTATCAACTTTCGTACTAACACATCTGCGATCTGTTCTTACGCTCATTTTGTATTTTCCTTTCAACTCCAGGAATATCCTCAAGCATATGAGACCCACATCTAGGTGATATGCTCTGGTATGGAATTGGAAAGCCCAGTGGGGGTTTCTTAGTTGGCACTAAGCCTGGAACATATATAAAGTCAAAGTGCTCCAACAGAAGGAGGGAGTAAAAACAAACTATTGGCATTTATTGATATTCTTGGTGTTTCACTAGCTGGATGATGTTAACAGTATTAAAAATTAAACCCCATAAACCATCTAAGCCTTATGGAATTCGCAGTCACAAAATTGAAGTTAATTCAGAATTCTGTGATAAGCAATTTGGTTTTTTTTTTTTTTAAAAAAAAATCAATGCAAGTTACAAATTAGCCTGTGTCAGTATTGCAGAGGTGCAAGCTGACAGCTGAGCTCGGTCCCCACTTCCTGCAAACAATGGCCTGCACCCTGTCCCTTGTGTGTGTGGCATTCTCTCATGGGACATAGTTGGAGTTTTTCAGACTGATGAGACTACAAGAGGGAGAAAGGAATTTTGTCCAGCAAAATTATTCTGTACTGCAACTTTTCTCACAGACTGTAAAGGATTTTTTAGGTAGAGATTATTTTTCCATATGAAAAATCATCTGTTTTAAAAGAGACAAAATAGGAGAAGTTCCTGGCTTAACCTGTTCTTAGATATTAAAGAAAACTTACATACTGTATTTATGAAATACTCAGGTATTTTCACTTTAGCCCCTACATTGGTTTTGTAAGTGCCACAAATGCATAGAATTGTTACCAACCTCCAAAGGGCTCTTTAAAATCATATTTCTTATTCATTTGAGGATGTCTTATAAAGACTGAGGGCAAAGGTCAGATTGCTTATGGGTGTTATTTTTATAAGTTGTTGAATTTCTTAATTAATAAAAGTTCATAATTTTCTGCACACTCACAATATTCTCTCTCAGAAACCAATGGCATTTGAACCACCAAAAAGAAATGAAGACTGAGCATGGTGGCTCACGTCTATAATCCAGCACTTTGGGGAGCTGAGGTGATCAGATTGTTTGAACCCAGCCTGGACAGCATGTTGAAACCCCGTATCTACAAAATTTACAAAAATTAGCCAGGCGTGGTGGTGGGCGCCTGTAGTTCCAGCTACTCAGTAGGCTAAGGTGGGAGAATCGCTTGAGTCCTGGAGATGGAGGCTGCAGTGAGCTAAGATCACACCATGCACTCCAGCCTGGGAGAGAGAGTGAGACCCTGTCTCAGGAAAACAAGAAAAAAGAAAAAAAGAAATATGGGTAAGGATTCTCCTGTTTTCCTCTCCTTAATTTAAAAGTTATCAGTTCTGTAAAGTCTCTGTGACCAAACATGCTGAAGACAGCAATAGAAGTCATGTTCAGGGGCTGGGCACAGTGGCTCACACCTGTAATCCCAGCACTTTCGCAGATGGAGGCAAAAGGATCTCTGGAGCCCAGCTTGGGCAACGCAGCAAGACCCCATCTCTAAAAAAACAAAAATAACATCAGCCAAGTGTGGCGACACATGTCTGCAGCAGCTACTCGGGAGGCTGAGGTGGAAAGATTACTTGAGCACAGGAGTTTGAGGCTGCAGTAAGCTATGATCATGTCACTGCACTCCAGCCTGTGTGACAGAGTAAGAACCTCTCTCTAAAATAATTAATTAATTAATTTACAAAAGGAAGTCATGTTCATTTGCCTTCCACTTCAGTACGTATCGTGCAGTGTTTTGGAGGTTGGAAAGTGAAACTTCGGAATCCTGAAGGTTTTTTCCACTTCGAGTTTGCAGTGCTCAGTGCACAATATACAGTTTGCTAAATGAATAAACAGAAATAAGGAAGTAAACTTACAAATATTTTAGGGAGAAGCTCACTTCTTCCCTTTCTCAGGAAAGCAAACAAGCACACACTGTTCCAATTTTAAAACCCTTTGACCAAAGCCTTTGAAACTATGAACTTTGCAACTGTCATAGTTTATGGATCTTGCTGTAGGGAAGCTCAATGTTCAATGTTTGAACTGAAACCTTTCTTGTTAGGGAATGTGTGAAAGAAGAATTATAGGGGGGAAAAAAGCAAGTATACCAAAGATCATCCGCAGTGAAGAATTTGGCTGTGGCTGAGTGAACCAGAGGCCCCTAACATGGACCCAAGTTGATCTTCAGAACAGGGCACTACTGTGCAGCATCTTCTTGTGCTCACACAAATCCTTAAACAGGAACATTGTAAAGCCTTGTACATGTCTAAATAATATTCATTTTCTCAAGCTATTTTTGTTACTATTATCCTAAAATTGAGTATTTGCAGGGAGCGCTTATATGTTTTCCTAATGTCTGTATAACAAATTTCTATGCAAGTATATGAATAAATAATTATGCCCACAGCTCAGTTTTGTGTAATGTGCCATTTATAGCCATCATGTAGATGAACAATCACAAGCATAAGTAGGTATTGCTTATATTCTATCCTTATTCTTTTCTTGACTTGGTAATAGCACCAGATGTATAGTGGAGTAAACCCTGTTTGATTGGAGGTTTACTCCCCTTGGGTATCCTCTCAATTATCCATTGTTCTTTCAACTCATGAGAATGAGTAACCGAGGATAGTTGTTCAGGACATGCTCCTAACACTTTGAGATCAATATCCTGAGAGCCCCTTCCATGCATTCCCAGACAGGTCCTGGGCACCCCCATCAGGGCTGACCCTGGGCCACAGCATGCCTCAGGGGTCAGCTCTCTAGGACAAGCCACTTATCAGAATGTTAGACCCTGAGGCTGAACCCACAGCCATGCTTGTCTCTGCCACAGAAGCACTTCTCTTCCACCTCCCTTCACCAGTTGGCAGATTTGAAAGAAAATATGCTAAGAAGGGAAATTTACTTCAACAAGTTTGAATGATAAGTTTCAAATCAGCCCTAAAAGGAAACTAAAGAAGCCACAATGGGGTGTCCCTATTGAAGTGCCCTCTGTCATAACAAAGCCTCTCCTACCTATGGTTTCAAGGTAAACTCAAATAAATTTACCAGAGAGATCTGTTCATTCTATGTCTTCTTTCATCTGGGTGACAAAAGACAGGTTGTGAGGCTCTTATGCTGATGACACGCTATACCTTCAGGAGCTACAGGAGCCAACTTGCCTGTTACCCATGATATGTGATTAGCATGGAATACGTCAAGATCAAAGCTACTTTTAAAAGGAACCAGGAATTTCTAAGGAGGCTTCTTATAAACAACTTTGCAGGAGTATTTTTGTGGTTAGTAAACATAAGACAAGATTTCATACACAGGACTGTTTTCAGCCTTTCTCCGTATCCATTTCCTTCCGAACAGCTTCCCTCCTTAGTTTCATCTTCTTCTTGGTTCCACATTCTGAGACCTCCCTCCCCATGTTGGCCTCTCAATGAGAGGGTAGATCTGCACTGTTGAATGCAGTAGCCACTACCCATGTGTAGCACTTGCAGTGAACCTGGTCCAAATTGAGATATGTTCTAGTGTAAATTGCACACTGGGTTCCAAACACTTATAACAAAAGAGGAAAAATATCTCAATGATTCTCTGTATTTGTTAAATTTTGAAATGACAAAATATATGGTTAAAATTAACTTCATCTTTTTAAATACTTTTTTTTAAGATGACCACTTTTGAAAATCTAAAATTATACAAATCACTTGCGCTTGTGGCTCACATTGTACTTTTGTTGAACAGCACTGAGCTAGAGAGTGCCCCAGCCCTGGGTTCTTAGTGGTTTACAAAGTCTCTATAGCAACTTAGATGGCACTGAGCTATTGGGCTCAACTTCTGGAGAATTCATTCATTCTTCCCCCAGAAATAATGCATGGAAAAGAGGCCTCTCTTCTGTCACATCGTGGAGACAGAGCTTACTGATTCTGAGGTCTTTATCTCAAATTCATCAGTTCAAAGATTCCTAATGTCAACTTCAGGTAAAATTCTGTACTTTTCCAGGAGGACTAAATGCTGTATACCCTGAGGATGTCATTTCTTAAAATAACCATGACATGGCTACAGAGTGAGGAGTCTTGTTTCCCTGTGTGTGATACTAAGTTATTCTGAAGGCAGTACCTAAAGAACAGCCTCAGAAATATTTGGCCCTCAGACAGTACTACTGGGACAAACAGGCTGCCTCCCCATGTGTCCATATACAGGATAACTCTAACCTGGATGTACAAGTGCTCATCAGTCATAAACTATGAAAAAAGTGAGGTACTTGGGTATAAGGCAATAGGGAATAGTGGAGACTGTAGCAAAATGAAGATTTCATGCCCTCACCTAAAAGCATTCACATTCAGATTTTTTTTAACACTATGGCAACCAAACAAAGCACATTTGGGAGCTGGATTTCTTTGGTGGCCTCCATTTTGCAAGTTCTATTTCCAGGCAGCTCTTATGAAAGCTCTACAATGCTTCATAACCAGGGGCATTTATCAGAATTATGCCTCAGGGCCTTTGAAAAAATTCAGTTATTCCATCTCTTCTTAGACCTTCTGAATTTGAATTGCTGAAGGTACTACAGATGATTCAAAATGTGAAAGGAAAATAAATCTCAAGACCCCAAACTCATTAAGCCAAAGGGAGAGTTAAGCTGGCAACTGGGTCACACAGAACTGCCTCCCCTTGGTTCCTAAATAAGATGGCTACAAGATGAAAAGCCACATACCTCCCTAATATTTTGCCCACATAGAAATCCCTAGTGAGCTCCAAGATCTTTAAAGCATTTTTGTTAAAACTCACCATGACAATATAAATGCTAACTTACTTTACAGATGCAATCACCCCTCTCTCCACCTGACACAAATGCATACCTGACTGTTCCCCTGCCCCATTTGTCTATGTTATCTTTTGTAAAAGTACAGGTTCCCTGCATTTCCCCAGTCCCATTTGGCTATATTATCTTATGTAAAAGTACAGATTGACTGAGCCAAAGGCATAAATGACTATTTTCTCCCTACCCTACTCTTGCATGAAAATTGGGTACTTCTCAATATCCTGCCCTTTCCCCTTTAAATTTGGAGCCTTCAAAATCATCTTCAGAGAAAAGCATAGACCTGTCACCCAGGTGTGTGTCCTTAACTTTGGCAAGTAAACCTCCTAAAATGATTGAGACCTCCACTTTAAATAAACAAAATATACATTCTTGTCAATACCACATCACATCTACTCATAGGTTTAAATGAAATATTGATTGGCCATTATTAATACCCATTTTTTTAGAACAAAGCAACATTTCTGTTCTCTCTCCCTCTTTTTCTTCCTCTTTCTTCCTCTCCTTCACTCCTTTTTATTCTTTCCTTCTCTCAAAAAAAAAAAATGATTGAGACTTATCTCATCTTTTTCTAAGTTGACATATTAAGCCCTCCTACATAAAAGCAATTGCACATTCAGAAAATTCAGAGTCCCCTGGAGGCTGGAGTAAATGAGGATGGCTTCCTAGAGGAGGTGTGACTCTGGCCTCTTTCTGACACATTCCCTCCCTGGCTCACCTAGACTTGGCTTTAGGAGCTCATCTGGGCTCCTCCTGGACCTCCAACCACGCCCTTTCCAGAACCACCGCTAAGAACCAAAGAAATCATGCTTTTACCAAAGGGCCATGTTGTGGGGGGTCCTAAGATTCATCATTCAGGCAGTGTCTACAGAAGGTGGCCAGAGCAGAAGGGAGGAGCCATGGCACAGAATCTATTTTCTTTAAATGCTGAAAGCTTCTGTATGTCAAGTCAGCCTATAATAGCCTTCCTTCTTTTCCCATTTAGCTCCCACCCCACCTTGACAGAGCCAAGGCAATGTCATGGCGTTTGTCTTAATCACCCTCATGGGCTGCTGTGTGCTTATGCCTTTTCAACTGTG